GTGTGTGTGTGTGTGTGTGTGTGTGTGTGTGTGTGTGTGTGTGTGTATATAACAATATAGGTTCATAGGCGCAAGCTTACCTTTCGTGAATGTACAAACACCATCACTTGCTCGCCCTTCAAAACATTCTCGGACACCTGTGGCAGGTAAATTAGACTCGATTGTGAGTTTGGAGAGTTACCATACGTATGCAACTAGTGAAAATGTCGAAAATAGAATATTAAGAAAGAGAGCCAGAAAGAGAATACATAGATATTACGCATCCTAATCAAATCCCCGCATTTTATATACACACATACAATGAGTATATCGATTTTTAGAGACGGATTTGCAAGGTATTGCATGCATGAAAGGCAACACAGATAACTGACAGAGCCGAGTGTATCTGTGCTGCGCCGCTACAATTCAGCCAAAATGAGTTAAGTGATACTATCGAGAATATAAGTTAATTGCATTAAAAATCTCAATTTCTCAATTGTAATTACCGGCCCGAGAGAGGAGAGGATCACAGGGCCATAACTTATTGTGGTTATTAGATATGTTGTGAAAGTAGGATGACTCCTAGATGCTCAGATAATGTAAGCGATGTTGAGACTGCGCAATTATTGCCAGTATGGTGGACCCTTTCCACTGAATCACTATCAGTGGCACTAAAAGAGCCCTTGACACCGCCAGAATGCCAAACCAGACACAACACAGTATACAGAAGAAACAGACCATCAGCTCATACTCACATAACATATGCGCGTTAAGGTGCAAGTCCACTTGAAACCACATGCAACCCTTACATTGGACTACAGAGCACACTCTACAGAAGAAACATACCATCAGTTCATACTCACATAACATATATGCATTAAGATGCAAGTCCACTTGAAACCACATGCAACTCTTACATTGGACTACACAGCACACGTGCGCGTATGCGGCACACACGAACAACTGAATTTGCACTGCATTCATTAGAAAAACATAGCACTTAAATACAGACAGTCATGATTGCCACACATCTCATGCGAGAAACTCACATGCTCGGTCAGATGTTCTGTAGCTTCATGAGCACAAACACACACCGACAGCAGTCAGGCCTTTCATACCGAGCACAGACACGTTTACAACGAACACACCTTGGTATAGCACACATCGTTCATGTCCCTGGTGTGGGTCATGCGGTTGGTTGCCTTGATGCCAATGTATGTCTGTGACAACGGCACGGGGCGGAAAGCGCCGTCAAAGTAGAACAGTCCAATGTACGGATTAACGCGCAGAAAGTGGGCCACGTCACTGGAGAAGAGCAGGCAAGTGGCGGAAGGCGAGAAACAGGTGTGTATACTAGATGGGTATAAAGCTGTATACATGTAGATCTATACACATCGTGCAGCTGCAAGGAAGCGTATAGGAAAACCACCTGTCGACTAGCCACACGGCATGTCAGCCTGACAAGGCCTCCTACGCTCTGCGCAACAAACTTATAAACGAAGACACCACATGAATACCCACACAGTGGTGTGCGCGCATGATTGCGTGTTCTTGGATAGCCAGACTTACATGTAATTGGGCAGGGTCGCGGATAATCCCACAATCCTGGTCATGGTCTGTGTTGTCTCGACTTGCCGCAGTGTACGCGCGACCAGACTTTCAATTACTGGACCACGTTCGTCGTGCAGCAGATGCACCTGTAGCGAGAGCACAATGTGAGGTAAACTTGGTTATATGTGAGACTAACTTGGTTTCAATGTGTGTTTAGGGTGAGGCAGTACTAATTCAGCCACGATTCACATTCGCTGTATAGTAGATGTGCTTGTGGGGGTGAATAAGGTGAACACAAGAACATCAAATATGTGACAGGTACACCTATGCAAATGCAAACCCATAATATATACAATTAAATTCGGGCGTACATATCTATAAATACGCACGCCGATGTATATCCCCAGGCACCACAGAATATGCCGGTGCTCATCTGTACAATAATATACGCACATACAGAGGACATCCCACACACACATCGGTACATCTCTGTACCCACCTCATCCAGGATCAGCAGTCGCACGGAGGCAGCCAGATCGTTGTCGCCGGTGCTTTTGCGCGTAATCACATCCCATTTCTCAGGGGTTGTGACCAACATTTGAGTTTTTTTAATCTCCGTTTTGGTCAGAGACATATCACCCGTCAGTTCTCGCACGGACATTCCAAGGGGCGCCAGACGCTTGCCTGCACGCACACGCAGCAAATATGACCAAAATTGGAATAAGTGCCAATTCATATTTTTATGTAAATGATATCGGGAAGGTCGTGCTTAGATTGTATCGCACTTGCACCTAGAATTAAAGTTCTTTAAATGACTGTTACGACTATGGTGAGGAGGGGCAGCGTTGCCTGCAGGTTTGCTCAGCAGCAAAGTTACAAAATAAGACCCGTGTGTAATCCCAACACTTGTCTCCACAATATGTTGGCAAGAAACGAAATAAACAGCTCGGTGTATGCACCGCAGCTGTCATAGCCCCAAGCATATAACATGTAGTGGACAGGAATGGGCCCTGACTTGCCATTATAGTCTGTCCGTAGCACCTCACCAGATATCATAAAGTGATCCAGAAGCAAAGATATCTACAGTATATATGCGTGCATGTATTAAGTATGTTGAATTTAAAAATATAAATTGGTGTACATCCAGTCTACGGCGTATATCGATATGAATGGGGAAGCGCATGGATAGTACTGCATACCACGACCACCAGTCAATACAACAAACTTCCACAAGTTGTGGAAACTACTATTGCCCCACACACAGCAAACACCGCCAAGAAAACAGACAACACCATTAGCACGCAGATGTCGCTCACAAGCAGCTAATTGAATGTACATTCTTCGTCCAACCAGCCTAACTGCGTACAGCTTGTGAGTGCAGCCGAGTCAGAACTCGATCTCTGATTGGAACTGGGTCTACACTCGCCTCACAGACAACTGGTGCATCACGGAGACACTTTCAGATTCAATAGAACCACCACCCACACACCCAAACGCTGCCCACTTTCAGATTCAATAGAACCACAACCCATACAACCACACGCTGTCCACTTTCAGATGCAACAAAAACACAACCCATACAACCACACGCTGCCCATTTTCAGATTCAATAGAAGCATAACCCATACACCCACACGCTGCCCACTTTCAGATTCAATAGAACCACAACCCATACAACCACATGCGGCCGTTATCATACGCATCCGGTGCACTTACCGAAATTATCGACCATCTCGGCAGCCAGAGCTTTCATCGGTGCCACATACACTATCTTGAACTGATCCAGTTGAACAATACCTGCGCAGAGGTGTGGGCATTTTTATTCTACTTTAAAAACAACGATGGCTTATAGGTGCATGTAAAATATACCGGTTTTTTGCACACATGTGTGCATACATATATGTATGTATGTGAGCATTTATTACATTTCTTATGCTAATACATGAATGAGATATTCATGCGCGTGGTTTATACGCGTCTATTGACACTGAGTGTTCTACCACCGATAGTGAAACAACACACATGTCATGTCACCTGTAGTTTATTTTGTACCCTGCTTCAATGAAGTTGTGGTCATGAATTGAACAAGTAAACTAGCAGTGGATATAACAAATATTCAGACATGAAACGCACACAAGTATGCAAGGAAACACACAAGTATGCAAGGTGTGGTCGGATACAGCACAGTGACGAGTGAATGCAATGGACAACACTGCCCGTTAACGTTAACCTAGGTCAATTAAGTCAAATCTTTAAACCTGTCTGTGGACCCGAGTAGGTCTCGTTAAGCCTGTCTATGTCACAACTACACCCATTCTCACATATACCAAGCGCGACAACCTGCATGTATATAACGCATGCTCGCAGATAACACATCTAGGTACACGCGACCATGTGATCTGGCACGGCACAGTGGTGCGTCAATTAACAATCACGTACCGTCCACTGTGTTCTTCTCAATTTCGTGCAGAATGGTCATCAGCGCGACGTTTGTCTTACCCGCGCCAGTGGGAGCGCACACGAGCATGTTCTCGTTGGTGGAGTACGCCTGTTTGCATGTGGACATTATAAGCATCTATGAAAGGGTGTCTTATACAATGAACATTTTTGTATATATGCGTTTAAGGCGGTTCATGCTTTTACGTGTTTCTAATGCATCAAATGCTTCAATTGCCAGTAGACACAAGCCATACAGATATCGCCACCTGAATATGCACGTTACTGGTAATGAGGTCAGCAAACATACGATACAACAGGCCTTTGACAATGGTACTGAGGTCAGCAAACATACGATACAACAGACCTTTGATATAGCAATACGCAATGTCACCACACAGCAGAGCAAATGGGCTGATGCAATACACACACAGTGCTACACAAGAAAGGTGGGCTACTCCGGTAGCACAACAATCTGAAACTCACGCCATAGATCCATACACCTGTTAACTCTATGCATATTTGTAGCAATATTTGTATATATCAGTATATATGTGTGTATATGCACACATACGTATGTGTATTGATAAATTGGTACATATCATAACTTCCTCTAGTACTTTTTAGTTGATAAGAATGGACAATAGTGTAACCATGTGTATACAGAAGTAGGCTTAAACATGTGTGTACGTATTTGAGCGTTTTCGTGTTTGTATGTTTGCGTAACTACAACTGTGCAGATAGGTTTACGCAGTCATCCAGTACTATTTCAACGGATGCACTTGGTATACAAGCATGACTGTATTGCACTTAGCATACATATATATAAATTGTACTACAGCCGTTCTTCTTAGTGCCGAGGAATGCAATGTGTTCTCTTAAAACAAACATACATATTGCTTATGCTTTCATCACATACAAATCCATTCCCACGTCCCTACATATCTCTTGTATCTCATTGGCATTCAACATACGACATTGAAAACAATGGACTGGATTCTGTTGAGAGCCTTGAACCCCATGAAGGCCAATTGGGACATGGCGCTGAATTCGCTGATGGCCACAGTGCGCTCGGTTTGTCGCGTGGGCGCAATTGGGGGCGGCAGCAGATTGATCTCCTCCCATTTGTTGTTCTGTTCTGTGGTTGACCCGGGCGGCAACGTAACACGTGCGCCTGATGATACACAAACAACGACTCAAAGTTAGATCGTGAGAACTTTCACGCAAAGTTAGGCAGTGGGATTCGAGAAATTTCATGATGATCTAGAAGGCACTGTCACACGTGCGCTGTTGTTGCACGTAACACAGAAATATCTTGAGAGCTTTCGTGATGGCCCAAAAGGCAAGATGATATGTGTGCTCAATGGTACTTACGAGGTCACCAGAAAGCAAAGTAATACTACGCCTGAGAGTACACATACAAACCTAGGCCTTGAGAGCTTTCGTGATAACGCAAGCGACAGGGTATCACGCGCGCCTAGGATTCCCATACAACAGAATGTGGCACAAAAACGTCTGCGATGATCCGGCAAGCAGAGTGGCATAATGCGAACTAAATGTACACAATATTAAACATGCAGGAAGACGCTTGCGCCTGTATTTACATAATCATCATTTCCAACCCGGAAACATACACGGATAGGCCAACATCTCTAACTAGTCCAGCCCCACCACTGATCAATACCTGAAACATACGACGACACCACATTGCTCGCGGCGGCTGAGCTGTCGTACACTCCTGGGTATCGCTTCGGTGCCTCCAACCTGCCCTCTCTGCTGAATAAGGGCCGAGAGCCCTATATGATTACGGCGAATAAAATACAGTGTAAACGATAAAATTATCTTCACGTGCAATGATATTGGTACCTGAACGGTATATTATTTTGGAACTGCCCAGCCGACAATACAAATCTATTTGAGGCCCAGATTTTCAATTTGTACTACCCCTTCGGCTTAAGCGACAGATTTACCGGAATTTTTCCAACGCATTCTGTTTTGTTTTGTTTTTTGGCCAAACTTACGGACAGTAAATCTTAACTAGGGTACGTACGTCATAGCTATTCAATCAGCCTATTAAATGTCGGATAGTAACCAACACGCAACCCTATAAGGCAGCGAATTACATCGAATACAAGTACAGGGCCGTGCGTGTTTCAAGCCAGCACATGAGCCTATGTAGACTCAGTCACCCACCAATGTACATGTTTAGATAAAAGCTGATTCATATATCGATTCATCAAACCAACTGTGCGTAGGTCCACAACCGTATATCCATGCTTGGCGATGTTACCCCAACAATGCTTGGCCAGCCCGTTTTCCGGAACCACACATAGGGAGTACCTACATACGTATCCGCCCACATAAATGTCTTAGATGTACTTGGATCTGGCTCCAAACCAAGACATACATGTGTTCTATAGAGTATGTTCAGCTACCAAATTCACTCAATTGCACATCATAACCTACTATCTCCACTCAAATGCGTATATCTAGCTACTATCTCCGCCTCAATTGCGTAATTTGTTTGTGCACAACTTCCCCTCATTCGCATACTCCCACCTGTGCTGGTTTCCTGACTATACGCGACCGCTCCACCAATCCCAATGCGGCATTGAGGTCATCGTCAGCTGATCGCTTATTCTGGAGACCCCCTCACAACCACAAACAACACACACACCCGAGGCAGCATCCGACGTGTGGGTGACAAAACGTGAGAGAATATAAAAATTAGCGATGGTGTGATACTGAGAGAGTTGTACCACACTTATTGATTAATAAGGGGGCTTCCAGAACATTAGATTTAATATAATATCTGTGAAACCAAAGACATATTAAATAGCATCAAGTGGTGTCATTGCTTTGCTGCTCCCGAACTGTTTGCTGTCTGTCTTAACTCCCTGAAAGGTGACCGTCACGTATGCTTATATATATATATATATATATATATATATATATATATATATATATATATATATATATATATATATATATATATATATATATATATATATATATATATATACTATATATA